AGTAAAAATGGCAGATAAGAAAAAAAGCATCTGGTCATGACCCTACCCTATCTCTAGGGAGTTCAGGAATGCTTGTCTTACTCTTCAGCTCGTGACAGACAGCTGTAGTAGCTGAAGACCTGACCCTTGACTTTTAACTAGGATTCCATTAATGGGCTCCAACTGATCATCCATCTCCATCAGCATGATGGATTGGTTTGTGTCACTTACCGCAAGAGCTCCTTGAACAAGTGGACTCTTACTTTGAAAGGGTCTATTAACAGTTTATTTAAACACACTGTAGCAGAGGTATGGTGACACTGGCCATGATTGAACTAAACCTAATTCCTTTCCTGTAATAATTGGTATCATTTTTCTGCTACGAAACATTATCATCTATCACAACTGAGTACTTTCAGTCGTCAAACAAAGTACACAAGCCACGTTTATGGTGAAAACAGAAACGAGCTGTGTGATGCAGACAGACCAACTTTCTCTGCGAAACACTGTGTCCGCTCATGAGCTGACAAACCAATAAATGTAAGCATGTCCGCTAATCTTCTGATGATGTGAATGTGTTCCTTTTTCTAGCTCTCCTTCCTGCCTATGCCCAGTCCAAAGATCAGAGAATCAGCCGTGTTTTGACACTTAATAGAGCTTGACCTTTGGCCTTTGGTACAGAGCCTGGTGTCGGAGTGTTTAGTCTTCACGAAGCAGATTAGCTGGCAACGTCAGGCACGACAAGGAGAGGCTGCTGCTTCCACACAGAAAGTCTTTATACCTGAGAGCCGGTGATTAGCTAGTAAGAGCTAATCTGCTGCTATGGTGGTCCGACTGGAAGACACGCACGCGCACACACACACACACACACACAAACACAAGCATCTGTGATATATTAAAGCCACTTTTAGAGGATGCTAGTGAGTGCACTGTGCATTTGATTTAGATAGAAACTGAATAATATTTTACATTCAGAAAAACATCTAACACCCTGATCCCTCAAGATTATATAACATGTCTCAAGTCATGCCAGAGCCTCTGTTAGTGTGTACTAAGAGACAGTTGTTGGCTAAACACTAATGTACACCATAGCTATATAAGGCATATTTATACTTTTTTTTTTCAAAATACCAAACAGATCATGCATTTTAGCTATGCCTCATTTTGCTCAATTTGACATGTTTTAGCTCTGTTTTTGCAAGGGCAGATTCAGTGAGAACAGCACCATCTACTGGCCTGGCATATGTACTACAGCGTCTCCAGCGCTTTCGAACGGCAATGGCCGTGGCTGTCTCCTCCTGATTGGTGGATTTGGCCCAATAGCCGTAGCGCCACTGTCCTGACGTCAGGACAGTGTTCAAATCTGGATCAGTTTTTATCAGATCCGTTGCAGCCCCTTTTTTAGAGATTTGGGTATGGAGGAAAATAGAGAGGGTTGTGTTTTCTGACACTTGGTGAGTTCTCTGGAACACCGGGGACACATATTCATGTATAAAAGACGTACAAAAGTGCATTTTGCATGATAGGTCCCCTTTAACTTATTTTGTTCAGTAGGATCATCTCAACATATTAGACCCCTTCTCTAATGAAAAAACTCTCTGAAAATGTTTTCCTGGGTTTTATGATTTCTGCAACTCCCTATTTAGCAGGAGCTATCAACAAATGTACAGATTCAATAAAAATGTTGATTTGCTGAAGTCAGGAAATGACTTATCCCAATGGCAGCATAGATATCTGTAATGATCAAATAATCCATCCAAGTTGTCAGGCATTTAAATGAAAAACGTCAACATCCAACATCATGGTAGCCCAGAGGAATAGTCAAGGAGCACCAAAGTGTGTAAGATTTATCCTCTGAGGGCCATGAATATCTAAATTGTCAATGTAAATGTCAATCTTGTAAATAGTTGTAATGATATTTCAGTTTAGAACAAAAAGGTTGACAGACAAACTGACAATGCCTTCCATAGAGCCATTCACGATCATGGTCTCAGCTTGTCCCCTTGTACGGTGATCAGAGAGGAACTGCCTGGCTGAAAACCATCACCTGTCAAAGAGAGTCAGCTGTGTATCCGCTGTACTCCACTAAATTACCCCCTGATGCACACTGTGCTGTGAGATTGAGGAAGAGTATAAAATGATTCCTCCAGCCTGCTCCGAGTGAGAGGTAGGGACACATGCTAGGAATATTTTCCACATCGTTCTGCAGGGATGAGGACATGGGGAGCTGTTGGAAAACAAAGTTATGTGCATGGAAGAACTTGGGTTCACATTGATTTTAAATGTACCCATGTTAGCCATTTGTAGTGAAATACTTCGTAGTATGTCCCTCACATCAGGCTTGTTACAAATAATAAGGACTCAGAGCAGCAGAAGGTAAAGGAATGGCTATGGTTTGATCTTACTGGACACATTTATGGATTCTGAATACATTAGTTATAGATACCCGCTAATTTGATATTTCATAGACCTGTCATTGATTTCAAGCAGTGTCATAATGATCCTAGGTAGCCACAATAGCTAGCTGCATCTATTATGTTTTTGAAATGTTTTCTTTCAGTCTTGATCATATGTCAAAACAATTGTGGGGCCCTATAATGTGGTGTTTCCTTTTCCTAAGGTGTGTTATATAGGTTATTGTGCATTTAAATGGTCTGGAAATGCAAAATCCCCAAAGTTCCCTTCCTCATGGTGCGTGATATGCTAAGGTGAGATCAGACTGGGCTCTGGTTTCAGTCAGAGGGTGAAAAGAGGTGCTGCAGCACAGGCAGTATGAGGAAAATAAAGAGATTTTTGAATATTAACGCATGGAAACATGTCACAGTAGAGACATTAAATACAATTATGAACCTGATAATGATCATTATAGGGCCTACTGGTGATAGCTAACAAAAAGGCCATTCTCAGGGGGGAAAAAAGTAAGTAAAGTAAGCAATACTACAGTGCACAACTAGGATTTATAGGTAAAAGTTATGTATTTAAAATATTACCCCGTTAAATGTATCAAATATAAAAAAAAAATATATGCCTGTAACTGGATATTTTGAGACACATTCTAAATAATTATCAGAGTGACGTCGGTTTCCTGATGGTAGGCATTTTTAGGAGTTATGTTCTTCATGATGCTTTATTTAAACCACCACTGGAACTGTTAGAATGTTTCTTAAATGTAGTATCCATCCATTCACCCCCTGCTTAAAATCCCAAAAAGCTAAACACTGCAGGCTGCTTTGGGGTTTGCTGGCTTATATGTTTGGTTTTAGGTCCCTAAAAGACTCGGGGATGAAAGCTAACAGAAGTAAGTGAGCGTAAGAACATGTTATGGACATTTGACTAGGGTGGTCTCTCCCCTGTCAGTCTTAAAACCAAACCATTTCAACCACGTGAGTAATGTTAAATGCAGAGCCAAGTAAAACAGAACACGTCCCTGAATGCATCACGGAGAATGAAAGCTCCATCAACTCAATTTCTAGTTAGTGCTTAGGGAGTGTTGCTGTCAGATAGTGAGAGACTTGGACCTGACAAACCTACTTGAGGGAAAACAGACACTAGCACAAGGTGTTCTTGCGTGTGTGGGTAAAACGGAGAATGAAAGTGTGTTTACAGTAGATGAGGAGAGGAAACCAAAGGACGCCCGTCTGCTCGGAGCAGAGCCAAACCCACTCAAGGTGAACGCTAAACTGATTTCTACAGCTTACAGCGGTTTGCCTGGAGCGGAGCTGTTTAACCAAACTCCAGCTGAAAGAGCTACCGCAACCTTCAAATGTGGTTCAGATTTGATAACATGAAAAAAACTAATCCAACATAACATACACACGCTTTAAGGGGCCTTGAGTTTTGGTTTCATTGCAATACATCAAATAATTAAAATAACTTTGTGTAGCTTTAGTATATCTTCTTAAGACTTAAGACCTACAGGCTTTGGGTTTGCCAATTAAATTAAACTCGACACAAAAGGTCTGCTGTTTACATAACAATGTGTTTATTTTATAGCAAAATCTGCAACTTGATTTATAAGTTAGCGTAGATTTCATCATGGTTTGCATTATTCTACCTTAAACCGATGAAAGTAGTCCATGTAAATGTGAATTTATTTCAGACTCAATACACTACTTTTGGTTTTGACAACTGGGGAAAGAAACTAATAGTTTTGCATCCAATCTGGATGTACAGTAAAGGTTCTGGGTTAACCCAACTAGCTAGAAATCAGTGAGAAACCATTGCACTTTGTGGCATTGTTTTGTTAGCCATAAATGTGTCCATTTTCCTTCAGCTAACCTATATTAAAGTAAGCTGTGATTGCTGCAAACCTTTGGGCAAGCAGTCCTTTTAAAAAAAAGTTTTGTATTATTATTATTTATGTATTTATTAGCAGTCCTTTCCAGAGTACTGTCCATTAGAATAGGCATCCTGATGCAATGCAATATTAGTACCATGGTACTAACATACAATATGGTACGATATATACTTTATTGTCCCGCTAAGGAATTCAGTTCCACAGAAGATACAAATCATATATTCAACATAGTACATGATAAAGGATATTAACATATTAACTTATGTACACACAGTTTAAACATACACATATCCACAGAAACACCTACTGACAATGGAGATCTATTGCACCACCATCATGAACAACACTCAGTACAGGAAAACCCTTGCTGATACAATGTTCCACAACAGAATCCACTATAAGGCCTTTTTCATAAGTGAAACATAAAGTGTGTATTTGCCTTGTCATTGGGAATTTAATGTGTTCTTCCTTGGCCCATGCTACACCCTTCCACCAAGTTTCATGAAAATTGAGCCACTAATTTGTACCGTAATGGTGCTGACTGACAGAACAAGAAACAGACCAACAAAACCCAAAAACATAACACTTATTACTTGGTACTGGAAGATTTACTGGGTTGAAAGAGAGATCACCAGCTTCCTTTTTGAATAAGATGATTTATTTTGCACTTTGTCGGACATTTCCTTTAATAATTCACTACAATTTAACGTTGTAAGCGTCTTACCTCGGTCTTCTAAATATGAGGCCATATTGCTGGCAGGCCAGGCCCACAGTGGGGGTGTAGATGACGGGCATGAACCTATCGATGTCTGACGTTAGCAGCCGGTAGAAGAGTTTCTCGTTGCGGTCCTGGAGCCCCATCAGAAATACATATCTGGAAGAGACAGGGAGGAAAACACAGCGTGTTATCTTTAACATCTTGAGGACTCAAACCTGCGGAACTGTGGAGAGGGGTTTATCTAAGTCAGATGTTGAGTCCTGCTTGTTTGTGTGAGATTAAAGGAACTACCAAGACATACTTTAAAGAGAATTCATCTTAGCAAAGAAAGAGAAGCAATGATTAAGATCGAGAATGTCCATACATCGTAAAACCCAGCAAAAGCAGTGAAGTTACAAAAGATAAACAAAAAGAAGAAAGAAACTGCTCACATATGAAACAATTACTTGAAAATGCCTGCGTTTGCTTTTGTTCATAATGCTTGGAAAAATACAAAGAATAGCCCTTCGGATATCCTATACATACTCTTTGTTCTGTAGATTGAACGGGAACAGAGGGTTTGCATTTAACCCAAATTAAACAGAGCTCGTCTGAAAGGGCTCTATTCCTAATCACAGAAGTTTCCATAAGGCCAGGAGCACAAGGTGCCTCTTGTTGAGTGGATAAAAGGCCCTCCCTGCTATACGTTAGGCCACAGCAGCTGCACAATACACCGTGGTGACAGTTGCTCTTGAGCCGTACTGTTTTCATATCAACGGACCGAATGAGTTTCTGCTAAATGCAATTTATCACATGGAAGGTTTTTGTATGTTTTACTGGAGTTGAAATAAAGGAAGCCATAGATTGATTATTTGCCATGGGTTCAAGTGTATACCTGTTCCTAATGTTTAATTGAGACGGTACATTTTTTTTACTTATAAGCTTAAAGGTGGGGTAGGTAATTTTGGAGAAACCAGCTTGAGTGCGCTAGATTTTGAAAATACACAGCCGGAAAAAATCTGCCACTTCCTTACAGAGCCCCTCCTCCAACACACACGAACGCGCACATGACCAATGAGGGCACGAGATAAGTTTGTGCACAGAGGGAAGGCTGACAGGCAGGTAGGCCATCCAGTTATTTTAGCCGGGCCGGCTAAAATGATTGGTTGTGCTTTTTACAGTATTACGGCTTCCACAGATGATATTTTTTTATGGATTTTCTGTCAAAGCACTTAAGATATTCATTGCTATCGGGATGTTAAGAGCATTCCATGGAATATAACAAAAAGTGTATCTCGAGCCGGTTTCTCAAACTTACCTACCCCACCTTTAACTCAAGGTCTGCTTAATAACTTTTTCCAAAGGTTTCAACTGCTTTTCAAACTCCTGGACTGATAGAGTTCACTGAGTTGGCAATTTACTGCAATTCAGAAAATGGGGGGTGCATTAAGAGAAACACATTAAAAAACAATGGCAAAGAAACAAAGCCAGGCTACCTTTTTTTAAATCAATTTATTAAATTGTCGAGAAATATTTTGATAATAGATTGTCTTGGTCATTTTTCAAGAAAAAAAGGCCAACTGCTTCTTAAATGTGGGAATTTGCTATTTTAACTTGTCTTACATGAGAATAAACTCAATTATTTGAGGTTTAAAGAAGTCAATTTAGACTTAAAGAAATTGTGAAGGATATTTTTTTGACATGATGGACAAAATAGAATAAATATTTGAGAAAGTGTTTTTTGTTTGTTGCAGCCCTATATTGTGTAGTATACTAGGATATTATATTACTTAATTGTCAGATCCAGTCTGACATTGTTCTTGCATCACAGCAGCTCCATTTGCAACATCAACAAGGACAAATATTTAAGACAAGATACAGGGAAACAGACATTAACATAACATCACAATCCCTTAAGAGAAACACGCTCAAGACCCTCTAACGTACATTTGATCTGGGATCAAACTCTGTATTTAATTTCAGGTTTGACTCAACTAAAGATAATTTTCTCAGATTTTGGAAAGCTCCCTTCAAAGCAACACACTTTCGAAATGCATAATAATAAAAGTATTACTGCTTTTTATAGGCAGAGAAAAAGCCTGTTTGAAAAAAAAAAGTTTGAGTCCATAACCAGCTTGAATTGCTCCTCACTGACAATTTAGCTGCTATGACTCAGCAAAGCAAACTATATTTAAATACCGACATATAATCCTAACATATTACTGCAGTGTGCTGTTGTTTGATGTTTTGCTGGCAGACATTAAGGAAGACTTCTTAACCTTAATAGGCGTGAGCGCTACACACACCCAGGAAACAGGAATATTTACAGTACACAAGGATCCATGCTGACTGAGTGCAGTGTTTCCTTTAAAGTGCACCCACTGGAGCAGCAAGGACATAATCAATCTCTTACTTAATCTATTTTAGCATGAGGGATCAAACGCTCATTCTAAGCCTGCTTTCAAATACATTACTGGATATGGTTTCCTTTTGCTGTAGTATTTAATAAACTGCAGTATTTCAGTTGGCAAAGTCTTTAAACATCCATCTCCTCTATTGACGATACAGTCACAGTGGGTATTCAAGTCACTCCATCATCTAAGATCATAAACCTTTTTGCGGCGCTGTTTTCTAGGCAATCATTTCCCACAATAATTAGACAACATGGCAAATTCCACTGGAAAGGTTATCAGATTAAAATAGAACAGGGTCATGGTTTTAAAAAGAACCCAGCATTGAGCAGTAAATACCAAAGAAATATTTGGAGAAGGGGAACAGACTGTAAGTAAACACAGCGGGCTTGAGCAAAAGCAGGCAAATAGCAATCCTTAATCCACGGAACAAAAGCCCGGAGGTGGAACACTGGAGACAGATAGTCAGTGAAAGTGATAGGGCATGGGAATGGCGCTCAAATTGCATGTTGATGTTGTGACGTTGCTATGGTGGAAAATTAAGCGGCATTTAAGAAGCTGTCTAGTTCCTGTTGACCCAAAATCCCCTCTCTCAAGCAACTCGTTCATCCTTGACATTAGGAGTGACAGCTGAAGGAACGGTTGACTGGAATGAGAAGCAGTTTCACACACAGATAATATTCAGCACTTTGCATATAATTGGAAACAGTAAAACAGGCTATGAGTTCAGTTTGGTGCCTGATTTGATCAAGGAGTCCGGACTGAAATGTTAGCTAGTAGATTCATGACATAATGCTAACAGCTACTACTCCTACGTGTCTCATGAAGCGTGCAAAACTGAACTGAAGTTTTCCTTTGGTCGCTGTGGAGGTTATAAAAACACAGGGAGAACAGGGAGGAGACGGAGAAATGGGGGAAAAGTGTTGAGATTTGTTCCGTAAGATATATTATTTTAAGAGATGGACGAGATCTCTGAGGGCTGATCGCTAATGTTCCTCGCGTGTTATGAAGGCTTCCAGATGTATAGGCTCTCTCACTGTGCATAGAGGCAGGGGTAGTCTTCTCAAGAGTCCATTGAAATTCAACCCTACTGATTTGAAGCTGATAAAAAAGGTACTAGGTTATGGTATTAAGTATAGGTTTTGCTCTGTGAATAAGCCTCACCTGTCCAAGTCGTCCCTCTTCATTTCGTAGTTCTTGAGCACCCGGAGCAGCTGGACGTCCTGGCTGTTGAAGCACGGAGGCAGCAGGCCATGGATCCCCAGCTGCTGACGCTCCTCCAGGGAGAAGGCCAAGTCCTGCAAACACACACAAATAACCTCCGTTATCGTCACAATCCTGACAAATATAACCATATCAAGAGTTTTGTGTGTTAAATGCATTCCTCAATTGTAATGTGCAGTGACCCGTTTCATTAACCTTTAGGTAACTGACTCCCCATAACTGACAAAACCAAGGGGCAATCTCCAGGTTTAAAAAGTAATGTCATTGTGAAAGTGGCTGAAACTTGCATTATTTAAAGTGTCCAGGTTGAAAATAAAAGTCGTTATTGTGTAGAAGTCTACAAGAATATTAGCCTTCTTTGCATTTGATTTACTACCCCAGTAGGCCTCATTTTAATGGGTTATGGTCTCAATGGCTAGTTTCAATACTTATTCAATACGAAATGACGTTCATTTCGTTAATTACAATCCCAATTACAGTAAACTACAAGATAAAGCAGACATTGTTTTCTGGCTTGGACACGTTTTGAATAAAGTCACTATCATGGTGTTGTTCGCTCTGAGTGCTCTTTTTGTTTACGTATTACAACTTTAATCCTTTCACAATTTGTAGTACATTACAGTTAATTGTAAGGTTTTGACGATTTAAAAAGTATTGTTTAGTGTATTGTTGCACTAAGTTCCACCCTTGTCACTACGTTTGATCTTGGGTAAATTGCAGCAATACGTTTTGGTGACTTGTCATCACCATTAAAGGTCCCATGTCATGGCCATTTCTACTGATCATAATTCCATTGTTGAGGTCTACTAGAATAGATTTACATGAAACGGCTTGTTGGAGCTCCTGACCCGCTCCCCCCCCCCCTATGAGCCCACTGTGCTCTGATTGGTCAGCTCGCCCACTCTGTTCTGATGAGTCCACCACCGTTACAGCGGAACATCAGTGATTATGTGTTACAATGGCGTTTGTTAGCAACCAGAAAATGACACCAGTAATGACATACAGATGAGAATGCTGCGTGGGGTCTGGGTGCCGTGTTGGCGGGACGTTGCGCGGCTCGCTGCTCCGCCCTTTGAGGCTCGAGGAGCGGACAGTGTGAGCTGGATTACTGGTGTCGTTTCCTGGTTGCTGCGTGGGGTCTGCGAGACAGCGAGAACTCAGCCTGAGCACCATGGACGCGGGGAGGCTCCACTAGCACCCCCCCCAGCACGTCACAGTTTCGCCACTGAGAGAGTGTGTGTGTGTGTGTGAGGAGCTCCACGGATTGGTCCATTTGGACCAATGGGTCCATTTGGGTATGGTCACGTCACTGTACCCAGCAAAAAAGAAAACAAATCTCCAACGAGGCGTTCTGGGGCAGCATAGACAGGTCTTTTCTGTGTTAGAGTTTTACTCGCTACAGGGTGTACTTTGAGGGTTTGTGACTCTGCAGACAGTTTACATGCAGAAAAACCTTCATAACACACAAGGGGACGGGTAATAACCAGAAAAGCATGTCATGGGGCCTTTAAGCTGCCAGAAAAGACTCCAAAGAGATTTAAAAATGGTGCACATTCATTTAAATTAAAACAGCTTCCTGACAACTAAAGCAGAAAATGTGTTGGCACTTCCTTGACTCTTATATGAAAGGAGTATCAGTCCTCTTATGTAATAACCATCAAGTTTACTTCCTCTTTCATCTTGAATCTGATGTTGAGTAAAAGGCTCACCTGGACTATTCATCGTTCATTTTCTTGTACTTTGGTTTGTTAGAACCATAATAGAGTAAAATTCACAAAGTGACATCATTTTCTTCCAGCTTGTAAAGCAATCCTAATCATGATCGATGGTGGTTGCACTCCTGGTATTTACCCTCTTTGACAACTCGGCTTGAACTTTGAACAATTGCATATTGAGGAAAACATTCACCAATCATCTCTGTTCAAACATTCCTGAGTGATGAGAGAGGTGGTGCGTCAAACTCGTCCTCTATGGGGGGTGTTTGCTCTCAGAGGGGCTCCCTCTCAACCAGTGTGTGTTCAGAGGGACCGCTGCTGGCTCACACTCTGCTGCGATGTCCACTTTCACCAAAACACGGCTCAGGAAGAAATCCCTACGGATTATCAAAGACCCCCATCACCCTAGCCACAAATTGTTCTTTCTGTTGCCGTCTGGCAGACGTTGCCGCAGCATCCAGGCAAAAACAAAAGGATTCGGAGACAGTTTCTTCCCGCGGGCAGTGAGACTGTTAAACAATTGAACTGCTGAAACAATTTCAAAACATTCATCTTCTACTTAGTAATATATATCTACTATCTGGTATATATCATTCCAATAACTTGTATATAGACTCGTACTGCACTATTCCACATACTCACTTTATTTTAGAACTATTTTTCTTTTTGTATTACTTTTAATATCTGTATTAAAATGTTGCATTGTTGGAGAAGCCTGTGACATAAGATTTTCAACGACATAATTACTCTGTAGCTATGTTAGTTTGACAATAAAGAACCTTGAACCTTGAACACATCCGCAAAAACACACAACAAGGTCAAGGCTAATAACCTGCTCCACCTTAACTTTGGATTTCATCTTACCCCTGACCTCTGAGCGGGAAAATTGAAAAACATGCACACGTTGAGTGTCGAGGCCTTAACCCTCAACATTCTGACCTCTGACTTGTGGAGGAAACAATGATCTCACTCAGGAGAGAAGTCATATGTTGATCAGAAAGAGATTAAAGTACTTAAGCCAACAGTAAAAGGAGGAGATTTGTCCCTAAATCCCCCACAACAAGCACAGTTCTAAAATGGGAACAGCAATCTCTACTATTCTCCTCAAGTGAGGCATGATATAGTAGGCATTTTGATTTCCCCGGAGTCCTTAAAAGACCAGAAACCTTAGGCTCAACTTGCCAGCTATTGTTGCTAACTGCTAATACCGAAACAAAGCTGCTCTAGCGTCTGTCATTTGGATCTAATCCACGGATTGCTTACCCTGGTCACCACAGTTTACAGCCTGTCTAAGCCACCAGCACTTTCTGTGTATCTGGTTGTGTTACAGCAGCTCTGAGGTTTAAAAAATGTGCTTGATCACACGAAACAGGCTGTTTATGGGAAGTAAACGAGGATACGGCATGGAATACGGCATTTGGAATGTAATTTGACGTCAGAGGAAGCATCAGCGCTGACCACAAACACGCCAAATCTTATTATTCTGACACTTTGTTAAAAAGCATGCTGCTTTCTCACTGTTGGTTTTAGATAGGATCTCAGTGGTTCTGGACCCATAAAAACGTAGATAGTATTGCAAAAGAAACAAGCAAATGTGCAGCATTTCCTTTTTGGCAAAACATCTAAAGAAATTGTGTTAACATAATGTCGACAAGCTATCAGGAAATACTGTATGTCATTTTATAAGTTAAAACAGAACATGCACACATCAGTTCCCGCAAACAATGTTAGTTGTCAGTACTAAATCATCTGAGCATGACAAAAAACAGGCCATTGGTTATTTCAGACACCGAAGTACGTGTCCTGGGCTCAATGCAGTCTGTACTTAAAGGACCTCAAATAGACAGAAGCAGCTCTGAATTACAACCTTCCCCAATTATCCAGCTGCCTACTTCATACTCTGTGTGCGTTCGGGAAAAGCAGCCCACGATGCACCACTGCTCTGCTGTCAGCCACAGCTGACCATGGGAGAGAAAGAGAAAGGAGTCTTAAAATACACGAGGCAAACTGAGCTTAATATGAGGCTATAAAACAAGATTTATTCCTCACACAGGCTCACGCTGCTCTTTCATTAGCTGAGATACACTCAGAGTGGCACGTACTGGACTCAAATTCTCCTTCTTTTACTGTTTTGGTGAGAGAAGTGGCTGTTCCTGACGCAACTCACAATTAAATACTGAAAGAAGGGCCTCAATAAAACAACCATACACTAGTTTATCATTGTAGAAAGAGATTGCACAGATCAACACAATGTATTTACATGTAGAGAATTCAAGTAGACTTATTCCTAGGGTTAGGTCAAATCTCCTTAAAGTTTGTCAGCTACTGAATAAAAACTACATGGCAGTTGTTGTAATTGCAAAAATAATCCACAGTTTTACATGTACAGTATGGAATACTTTTAATTACTTAAATCAAACATTGAAAATATTGCAGCTACAAAAAGGTGAATTCCACTAATATATTTGTAACTTTTTCAATGCAAATAAAATGCACTTTCAATTTTCAGCAATTACAAAACAGTTCTGGCGCAAACTACTGGTGTACTGTGTGTATTAGTGCCAACAACTACGGTGGCCAACAGGTGCAAACACACTACAACGGCCTCAATAATTTCCATTAGGAGCTGCAGCTTCAGAAACAATGCAAATGTATATACAAAAATGTGTCAAAACACATGCAAATGAAGAAACATCTTCACCTACTTGACAACACATTCGCAGCTTTTAGAAAACATTCACCAACTTGACGAAACATGCACATGGTTTACTAAAAGCGCTGCATAAACGAAAACCAACCAAAAAGTGATGCGAACAGCTGGGAACACACGTGTTGACATTTGGGGATTATAAAGTTGGCCAATTGTCACCGTTGGCATAGTAAGCTTGTTCAATAATTGTGTTTTGTCAGTATATTTGAAATGACTAGGATAGCTAGCTAGCAGATCTGCAATAATATTGTTAGGAATCATGTGATCACATTGTTAAAATAAGCCATAAAACTTACATTTTAGGTAAGTTTCCAGTGGAAATGTAAACAGATGCTATACTTTATGTTATCAAAATGTATATCAGGTAGTCCTTGTCAATGTTACTATAATCAAATTGCACATTTTTACCTCCGCCAAGTAGGTTTGGCTTCATTCATTGAACTTGGTGGAAGGATGAAGCTTGGGCCAATCAGGAATCTATTTAAATGAACATGCAATGGAATAAATTGAAGTATTTAAATACAGTGTTTATCTACTTAGTGTCTTAACACTACTTGATACCACTCTCACAAAAGATTATACTTCTTACGGATTAACACACACATTCACACATAGAGCTCTATAATTAGCTGATACGTTGCTACTGTTT